AGTTGTTATTTATTGGCTGCTGACAAGCCTATGAATTCTGGGGCAAAGTGAAACTCATATTGTTATCAAAAGCATAAAATTCCTATCACTTTAGATGTCAGAGCAGAGACAAGAAAATGAAACAGGTACTCATAAAGGCAGTGGGTGTAATAAATCAGCCAGGAGGGCCAGAGAAAGGAGACGCTTGATTAAATAAGGGGAATTAGGTATTTTTGCAAAAGCGGGAAATAACATTGATCTACGCTCCTGTCAGCAAAGACGCTTGACACCATTGTGCATTGTCTATTCTTCCCGTGTGTTTATAGTTTATCAATCTCCCTCCGACAGAATGATATCAGTGAGAGAATATCCTGCATCCTTTGGCCGCCTTGTTCTCTGCTGCTGGAAAACTGGGGGCAGACTTATCCAGGTTCTGAGGTTGCCTTCTTTGATTTCCTCAGCAATTGAATCACCAATCATATCCTGTAGCTTTGTTTACCACGACATATGTGAAATGAACCAATAGGGCTACTGTTTTTCCTACAGCGCCATAGGCATCAAGAGGCAATTTAAGGTCAGTCAGGGGTGATACTCTTCTCTAGTTTATACCAGGGTGCAATCAAATTTCGTTGCATTTTATGGGAAATCACTTTGGGCAAATAATTCCTATTTTTCAAGGGAATGTTGGATATCTATTTAATGAGAAGCAGTCTTGTTATTGTAAGAAAATCCAATAAATCTTCGCACTTTGCCTAACACAACAAGCAATCTTTTTCTTGTGTAGCCTGTTGAAATAACACCATATATACTCTCTTCTTCCACTCAATCTTCCCCCGTGGAAGCAAGATGCAATGCAACAGATTGAGCGCGCTTTAAAAGTAAACACATAAAACACGGTTGAACTGATCCTTTTAATTTTCCTTGTTGCAGTTTTCTTTGTACAAAGCATCAAAAATGACACTGAATATACGACTTATGACTCATGGCCAATTGCACATCCGTCTAAAAGCAAATTCTGCAAAGCCAAGTTTGTTACCCTAATTGCATGATTTCAGTAACGTCTCTCCCGCTTTGATTTGGAGGTGTCTGCATGGCTGATAGGATCAGTGAACTCTGGAGAATGGGGTGACGACCTTCCACCTCATCCATCACTCGCTGATGGACATGTGAAGCCAGTCCCTGACAGGTTTGGAGGATAGGTGGGGGTGGAGGGTGAAAATGGGGTTAAGGATAGGGCCGGAGAAGGATCCGTGCTACCAAAGCATGGTGGCTGGAAGAACGAGGGCGGGGTTGAAGGGGGGAGCAAATGGAGAGAAGTGTGGCCAGGATTGAGGTCAGGGATGTATGATTGGGGTATAAGATGAGCCTGGTTAAATGTTTGCGTGGGGGGACAAAGATGGATTATCTGACTGTTTATGCATGTCTCATGTGGGGGAAAATAAACAAACGCAGCTCACATCACATTTGCCACTATTTTTTCTTTCTTTAGCTCTTTTGCAGCAAAGGGCATAAAACCACGTCAGTAGTTTTGGTTTAGTTCGCCATCCAGCATTTGTGAAGCAGGAACTCAGTCCAATACAAATGATGAATCTGGTAATCGGGAGCAGTGTCACTCTATTCTCCAAATCTTGCTGAGGTGTAATGAGTCTCTGAGGGGCCACTTGTTCCTTACATCCAGTGAAACAAGCACCAATGTCATCAATCTTCAAAGAGGCTAAAGTGAAGTCAACTTCTGTCTGAAGGTGCTCCCGCTGATTTCTTCACGTGAGCTCAGTGGAAAGCCCACGTTCCCATTACATGTGAGAGTGTGCATGCGTGGGAGAGTCGGGTGCGGTTGCACCCAAGAAAACCTCTGACCAAATCGCAGCCAAGGGCGAGTGACACCACAGCATGAAGCAGGGATGTGGTGCACACACATGCACACTCACAAATGTTAGCATGGAATGGGTTCAGTGACATTTGACCCTGGTCATTCAATTGCCTGTCAACACCATGTACTCTCATCGTTTTGTGCATGACTGTGCGATCATATGTTTTCCTCTGTCTGACCTAAATGTAGTTATGTCTAGACACTTCTTTCTTTCTGCTGCTGCATTGCTAATATTGTGCACCTCATGTCAAAAGTTTGCTTTTTCAGGAAGTTAAACAAGACTCCTTCCCCTCTCCTCGCAGACAGCAACTTCATGGTTGGCATAGTGAAACCAGGAACAGGCAAGGGTGAGCTGCTCAGTTCACTCTCACTCATGAATCTGAGGTTTCAGTGTGTATTCTTTTTACGTTGGTTTTGATTTCCTTTTAATGCTGGGTTTTTTTTTTAAATCTACCATTAAGCAAATAAGGAAGCTTGATGTCTTAAAGCCCAGATCAGATTAGATCTTATTCTCTAAATAAGGATAAAGTATTGTAAGACAACAGTATTGGAAAACAACAATACAGGGATTGACATACATACTGCATATCATAATCTTCAGGGAGATTTAATCTGAGTAATTTCCTCTGATTGATCCTGTTGTTTCTGCCTTGTGCTTCATCAAAATATTTGCTCAGATGACAACATATGTCTCTATTCTGTTTTGGAGTGTCGCCATCAGCTCTGGATTGAATACAGTAAACACATACGCACAACTACACATGTTATCTGGTAAAACAACAAGCTGCCCTTGCTTGTCTTCTGCTGGTCGGGGCCTCAGTGGGATGGACAGTTTGTGAAAATGACAGGACATGCCAACAAATTGCATCACTTCTGCCTCTGTGGCCGAGGACAATGGGCCACCATATGCCGAAGTGGGGAAATGAATGGAGCTCATTTGTGCTGGCACCCTGAGCCCCAGCTCCCCTCGACCCTGCTGGGGCCTCCGTGGCACCGAGGCCGACACAGACAGACGAGCCCACCCTGTACCACACAGCTATGCTGCTGTCCAACAACACATCCCATACACCGAATCCAACAAATACAATTTGGATTTGTTGAAAAAAAGAAAATAGAAGCAGATGAATAAGGGGAAAAAAGTAAAAACAGTTTGACATTTGGTGCTACTTCCCTAATTGTGGCTGAGAGGGCATTTTACATGATCGCAAATAATATTTAACACTCTACCCTGAGAATGCAGTGTTACTGTAATCAGAGTTCCCAGAAGTTTGAATACTTTTCACAGAAAACTGAAGTAACAAATTATGCATTACATACATACATGCATGCAATACATACTCTTCTTGTAAAATGATCTTTATACATTCATATTCAGTATAAATGGGTATTCAGGATGTGCTGGTCCCTGTCTGTAACAGTAGCCCTGTTTGCCCATTTGTGTTTTTCTGTGTCTTTATTTGTGTGTGTGTGTGTGTGTGTGTGTGTGTGTGTGTGTGTGTGTGTGTGTGTGTAGGCCTGGGTTGATATCAGAAGAATTCTGAGCTGAGGCTCTGTTGACATGAGATACTAATGAGGATGAAATGAGAAGGTCAGGGCTCGTCTCCAGGAGGGGGGGACACCCTCCTCCCACCACCAGCACCAC